TTGCAAACATTTACATTATCTTTATACACGTGTGTATATGGAGGTTTCTTTTATTCCAATCTCTCCTTCTTAAGAGAAAGCCCATTGAAATATGATTCTGTTCGAGAGTAGACCTATATAATAAGGATGGCATTGTGTTCATATGTCTTTTGTATGTTTCATTAGACCAGCAGATATTGTTTTGATATGTTTAGATTTGTGTTATGTCCTGAAGGGATATATTACTTGACAAGGTTTAATGTGTGGTTGTTGGGCACCGATGTTTTGTTTTGTGAGCTTGGGTCGAGTTACACTGACTGGTTGCTCCTCGCATATTGTGGATCAACATCCCTCAATGTTTCTACACAAGGGGTGGGGTATGCATTTCAGTTGGGGAGATGCTAGGGTTGAGGGTGTGCCTGTTCTGGGGGGTGTGTGTGTGTGTGTGTGTGTGTGTGTGTGTGTGTGTGTGTGTGTGTGTGTGTGTGTGTGTGTGTGTGTGCGTGTGTGTTTCCTTTGGGGGGAGGAGGGGGGTCACTTGCACCATATTAATCATTTTGTAAAAATATTTACAGTTTCTTTACTTCATCATGCTGAGATGAATGTCTATGGAGAGAGCAAGTCAGGGCAGTAGTTTGGATATTACAGTTACAAGCTGGAACGTCCGGGGGATGAGAACATTGGCTAAATCTAAAATAGTCTTTCTACAGGAGACACATTTACTCGCTGCAGATGTTCACTATTTGAGCAAAAGGTGGCCAGGCCAAGTGTGTTATGCTTCCCATAGTACTTACGCACGAGGTGTGGCTATCCTTGTACACAAATCGATACCATTTCAACTTATAAAAACTATCCAAGACCCACATGGAAGGTATATTATTGTCCAAGGCAATATTTTGTCACAAAAAATTCATTTTGTAAGTGTCTATGGCCCGAATGAGGATAACCCCTCGTTTTTTGAAAGATTTGTTCTAACTCTGTCTGCTTTGGAGGGACTTTATATTATAGGAGGAGACTTGAATTGTGCTCTTCATCCACTCCTTGAGGTTGATATGACTCATGTGCAAAACACTGCTTAGATATATGAAGGATTTCAGGGTAAGTGAAGTTTGGAGGAACTTGAACCCGGATAAGAGGGAGTTTTCTTGCTATTCAAGCTCATATGAAACTCATTCACGCATTGATTATTTTTTGATTTCTGTGGAACTTCTGTCCAAGGTCAAAAGTTGTGGTTACAGTAGTATTGTAATAAGTACGCAACAGTGTTTATGGAGATCAATGTAGGCTTTAGGTTTGAGCGTCACGCAAGATGGAGGTTACACGCTGATTTACTTCAAGACCCAGACTTTGTTACATTTGTGGAAAGTTGCATTGACAATTATTTTGAAGTAAATACAGATGAAACTTCAGCCAGCATTAGATGGGAAGCATTTCAAGCTTATATAAGAGGAGAAATGATCAGTTTTACACATTCTAAAGCTAAGCAGCATAATCAAGAATTACAAACATTAGAAAACAAAATGAAGAAAGCAGAGACTGAAATGTACCGTCACAACGATAGATGACGTGATCTATCCGTCATGAGAGCTACGATAAGTTAACAAGGGACAGAGTGGCTAAAAGCCGGGACCAAACAAACGTACTAGGATCAGGGGAAGCAGCGGGTAAACTCCTGGCCTGGAGAGTACAGAAAAGGCAGAAAGAACAATCAATGGTATCAAATCAGTATCAGTAACTTAACTGTAGACCCACAAGAGATCAGTAATCATTTTAGAGACTTTTATAAATCAGAATACACAGAAACCAGGGAAGCTCAGAGCAATGTCCTTGACTACAGTTTCACACTCTGATGATGATGACAAGGCAAAACTAGATAGTCCATTGACAATAGCCGAGCTTTGTGAAGCTATAGGGACAGCGCCAAAGCACCCGCACCAGACGGTTCCCATAGAGTTTTAGAAAACATTGAAGAAGCAACTTGTAAAGCCGCTTCTCGATATGAAGAGTCTTTTGTCAAAAGAGCGCTCTGAGAACCAAACAAGCCGCCAACAGAATGCTCATCTTACAGACCAATCAGCTTCATGGGGTGTGATACAAAAATACAAAGCTCTTTGTGGACGATTGGATACATATCTCCCTCAATGAGTTGTTGATGATCAACGAGGGCATTTCACAACATCAGAAGAGTTTTAAATAGACTACACAACGCGAAGGACGCAGCAATGCTTTCAGTGGATGCGTGTCAAGCATTTGATAGGATGGAATGGACTTATCTTTTTGAAGTACTTCCAAGATTGGGGTTTGGTGAAACCCTCCTGAAATGGGTTCAGCTGCTATACACAAACCCAACCGTTGAGATCCTAACTAACAACACTATCTCGGCCCCCTTTCATTTGGAGAGATCTACCCAACAGGGTCTCCACTGTATTTACATTATCAATCGAGCCTTTAGCTATGCCGTTAGAGCACATGCAGAATGATCCGGCATTACTCTGGGGGGGACAGAACATCGCATTTCTTTATACGCGGATGATATCATATTTTTCTTGAGAAATATAAAACATAGTATTCCCAATTCAATGAGCGTAATAAAGGAATTTGGTGAATCTTCCGGAAACAAAATGAATAACTCTAAATCAGTGTTGGTGTGTCTGGATGACAAAGAGAGACACAGTCCCAGAGCAGATACTCCATTTACGACAGAGGTTCAGATCTCTCCGGAACTCAGAGACGTAGTTTCAGCTCATTACGATCCCCTGGTAGACGGAGTGCCGCTGGTCCAACCTGCCTATATCTATGATCGGACGAATACATATCATAAAAATCACCATCCTACCTCAGTTTTCATATTATTTTCAAACGCTTCCATTGCCACTACCTTCTACGAAAAGCTTAACAAATGATTTAGTCAATTCATCTGGAACATCAGAAAAGCCAGACTCCGTCTTAAACACCTACCTTATGAGAGGGGGGTCTTCAATTCCCTCATCTTAAATGGTACCCGACTTGGGTGAACATGGAGCAGACATCAACTCCATATCCAGATCTGACATTACAACTTTACTCTTCAGATATTAAGACATTGAAGAAACGTACACAAAAGCCTTTTCTTCAGAATACGATCTCAGTTTGGTGCTGCACACGAACACCTCCGCTGTCTCAATGTCTCAATGTCCTCCTGCTTGGGGCAGCGAGCAGTTCACACCTGGGAAAAGAGATGGAGGATTTTAATCATGGAATACAAAAGGAAGGAGTTTTGCTTTCTTTTGATCAGCTATGTCGGAGATATCGAATCCCTAAAAGCACTAAATATTTACAGTTAGAAAGTGACATGTCATCAAAACACAAACAGATAATGTGTGTACCGCCTTTATCTTTACCAACTTGAGGAAATAACACTTGCACATTTGGAAGGAAAGGGCCTAGTATCTAAATTCTACAACACAATGGTTGCATTTGACTCTGAATCAGCAGCAGATGAATGAAGTGCATGGACACGGATATAACAGAGGATATTGAAGAGGAAGATTGGAATGCTGCTTGCCTAAAAGCACAAAGTCAGACCATAAATACTAGGTTCAAATGACTTCAGTAGGTGGTTAATGAGAATGGACATAACTCCCGTCAAACCTCATCATAGTCTGCCAATATTCCAGATGTTTGGAAGAGAAAGGAACTTTATTTCTTGGTCTTTGGGAATGTCCACAAATTCAAATCTTCTGGAAGGATGTCATCAGGTGTCAGAGGTGTTTAACATGAACGTCCCTTTGAACGTCACACTTTGTGTATATCAAAGGACTTCAAAACAACCCAAGCTTCTGGATGTTGGCCTTCTTCAAGGCAGGAGGGCTAAATGTACGGATGCCCCATCACTGAGGATTTGGTTGAAGGAACTTTCTGGAAGTGTTGGTCTAGAAAGACTGACTTACATCGCTCAGGGCAAGCGCAAGGACTTTGTTCAGCTCTGGGAGCCATGCACATTGTGAGGGAATCTGGCCTGCCTCTGAAAAGAAGCTGTGACATTATTTCTGTTTTATTTATTTGTTTGCTTTTAATAACAATAACAATACATTGTATTTTTATAGCACTTTTCTCGAACCCAAACACGCTTTACATTTGGGGAAGGGTAGACAAACAAGGACAGGCAATTAAAACTTCTTTTAAAAAGACTGGTGCAGTGTGAGGGTGTGTGTGTATTATGTGTTTGTGATGTACTTTGTTGTTCAATAAGAAAATACCAATAAACATTGTGAAAAAAAAAGCTGGTGAAGGTGCAGCTAGTTTGAAGTACTTTGTATACTGCAGGGTAGCTGGTGAAGGTGCAGCTAGTTTGAAGTACTTTGTATACTGCAGGGTAGCTGGTGAAGGTGCAGCTAGTTTGAAGTACTTTGTATACTGCAGGGTAGCTGGTGAAGGTGCAGCTAGTTTGAAGTACTTTGTATACTGCAGGGTAGCTGGTGAAGGTGCAGCTAGTTTGAAGTACTTTGTATACTGCAGGGTAGCTGGTGAAGGTGCAGCTAGTTTGAAGTACTTTGTATACTGCAGGGTAGCTGGTGGATTTACTCCAGGTGGAACTAAAGTCTGATTCAACACTTGATTAGATTTACCATCATTCATCCACATCTGTGAAGTAACTAAAGGTATTAAATACATGTAGTGAGTAGAAGTACACCATGTACCTCTGAACTGTAGTGAGTAGAAGTACACCATGTACCTCTGAGCTGTAGAGGAGTAGAAGTACACCATGTACCTCTGAACTGTAGTGAGTAGAAGTACACCTTGTACGTTTGAACTGTAGTAGAAGTACAAGTACCTAAATATTGTAGTTGTTAAAACTATTTAACAGTCTCACTCAGAGGTGGGGCTGCAGCTCCTCTTTGGGAACACCTGAGACACACACACACTCACACACACACACACACACACACACACACACACACACACACACACACACACACACACGGCAGTAACACCTGGGATTGAATGTGTGTTTCCTCATGCTTCGGGGTTGCACTTTGCAGACGGTCCCTATCTCCTTGTCTCCTTTGCTGTGGAGGTGAGGAGACATCGTTCGTGTTTTCAGATCGCTTTGTGTTTGACTTATTGATCCGTCAATGTTATTTTCTAACTTCACGAGCTCTCAGAGTGATGGGTAGATGGCTGAAACTGAAACGGATCAACAGGTAGAGCAGCTAATGGCTAAAGTAACGGTTGTAATGGATGAAGAGTTTAATCTCTAAACATATATATTTTTCACGGAGCTGTCGATGGGGACACGTTTGGGAAGAATCAAACATTATATTCCACATGTGAGGAGGATATGTTCCGGATCCTACAGCTCTCTGGCAGGTGAGCAGGCTGGAAGCTGGACCCGGGAAAGGGCTTCGTTAATACTTGATAACAGACCGATGCTAAGCTAAATAATGACTGTTGCTACGACTAAACCCGTAGTCAGGGATTAGTGGTTAAAGTACACATGTTTCTTTAGCTCCATTTAGATAAAGTAAAACGCCTTGTATATCTTTTATTAAGAAAAACGTTTGAAAACTATCCTTATAATAAATATACATTAAAGTTACTTATTACACGTAGTTGAATACTCGATTCTGATTGGTCAATCTTGACAGTTCAGAGGTTGTTATGATAACAGACTGATGCTAAGCTAATGAATGACTGTTGCTAGGGAGGATGGAAGAGGTTAAACACAGAGCAGAGACATGTTATTAATGTCGTGTTTTACACCGAGAGCCCTCTATTGACCCTCTGTCTGTGGACTCAATGACACTGTAAGCAATCTCTTTCTCCATTCAAATATAATTCATATTTTAAAAGTCTTTCAATGAGGTTAGGTTCACCTGCATAACGGAAACGGTAAATACATTATTTATCTTCACTTTTCTGTCTTTATAATATTTTAATCCATCAAACCTCGACAATAGTTCACTCTGCATATTAGGGACACTGATGTGGGTTGTATTAATTAATGTTCCCATACTTGTGTTAATATTCTCTCAGTTAAAATCTTAATTAGTGCTCAAAACGTTTTTTTAACAAAAGTATTGAAGCTATCATTATTTAAATGATCACTTTTATGTTATTTTTCATATTTATTTTAAAGTTGTACTCATGTAGTGCAGTAGAAGTATGAAGAAATACAAATATGTCAAAAAAGTAAAGTACAAATATGTCAAAAAAGTACTTAAGTGCATAATACTTGAATACATGTACTTAGTTGCTTTAAACCTCTGGTTAACACTTAGCTTTAATGTCTCTGAATGAACATCCTCTTTTCTACATTTTACTTTATGACAATCTTTTGTTTTGAAAGTGCTTAAAATGTTCTAAAACTGTAGTCAGGGTTCAGTGGTTAACGTACAACGTTTAAGCTTTGCTGAGAGAAAGTCAAATGTCTTAATGTTGGACTCACACACGCTGTAATATATTCATACAACCCTTTTGCATCCCAGTTTGACCCAGCCAGCTAAACAAGGGACATGAATGAATAACATGCTGGTTTTATAACGGTAAATGTGGCATTATGTATACGCTGTGTGATGAGTTGCAAAAACCGTCCCCCTGTTCTCCCATGAGTCCCTGCAGCAGGCTGACCAATGGGAGGCCCCGCCCGCTGTGATGTCACTGCGCTATAAAGCCCCCGGCCCCCCGCTGCCCGGCCTGAGCAGAGTCAGCGTTCCCAGCCTGGACGCCTCGGCTGGTAGAACTGCTGTCTTTAGTAACCGGGCGTCTTCACGGCTCAACCGTTCTCCCTTTCGGATTGTGTGAAACTACATTTTCTGGATAAAGAGAGTGTTGCTTCCTGAAGAGCAGCCCCCCCGCCGGGCCCCCCAGGCATCCTTGTGCAGACAAGTAAGTGAGATTTTTTTTTTTTTAAAAAGTCCTCCAGAGTTCCTCTCACACACATTTAGGAGCCCTTGCAGACGCGTTGAGGACTTCAGGGGTCTCCATTGGGCTCCAGCTGAAGGGTATAACGGGACGTCCCAGAATAGCCGCTGATAGCATCGGCTCCTCTGATGGCTTTTTAAGGGAATCAGCAGCAGGGCTATCAGTTCTCCTGCTGCCACATGCTGGCTGTCAATCAAACTGAGGTGTGGTTGGGGGGGGGGGCGGGTGTTATTTTTAGAGTTTGGTGTCCTGTGTTAGATCACCCCCCCCCCCAGGAAGTGTCAGACAGGGGGGATTCTTCACTGAAGCTTTTATTTTGGAGGGGCTTGAACAGCTGTTGGCCTGTCGTTGGGGTTTATACTGTTACGCTGGTTTATAAAGTGCAAACTGAAATGTGTGATGAGTTTGATGCTTTCATTTAGTCTGAAGTTACTTTTCGAGAGTTTCCCGATCTAGATTTTAAGCAGTTGATATAAAGTCATTTATTCATCTTTCCATTTAACGGCTCATTGCTTTCAGTCTCCTAATAAAGTCTCCTTTCAAAAGCATCCAATGGACACGGTCTGTGCAGAATGTAAATGCCTTTATGAAACATGGTGTTAATGGTTCTTAATGTAAGGCCTTTCCTTCATGTGGACCAGCAGAGTTACTGTGGTGATAGATAACAGATACAGCCAGGGAGGCAACACATTGTTAAACTGAGAAACACACATTTACCATGAAATCTGCTCATGACATTATTCAATGTTTCCATGCATTCAAATGTACATAAGGAAAGCTCAAAAGGAGAGGTGGGAGTGCATCTCGAACCACGAGCAAACATACATATCATTTGGAAACTAAGAGAGAGACAGGAACACAGAAGAACCACAAAGTCTAAAAGTAAAACCCTCAAACCAAGAGAAGGGTACCAAGTACTTTAAGGCCATTCAAAGTACTGACAATGCTGAGTATTATTAGATATCCTATTTATAACTACTCTATTTACACTGATCTGGTTCATTGAATAAGAAAATTACATATTTTCTAGTTTAGAATATATTATTCATAATCTACAAAGCATTCAAACATTGAAATATATAAGTAAAAGGACGTTAAACTTGAGTGAATCCTCACCCTGTGATATATTTTTAATAACGCAGTATTAATAAACTGTGATGTGTTCAGGCGGTGGAGTCATCAGATCACATTTAGCTGTAACCAGATCGGTGTGATGAGGCGTTCAGGGACTCACAGATTTAACGGCTGCAGATTATAACCAGGTCGGTGTGGTGAGGCGTTCAGGGACTCACAGATTTAACTCCTGCAGATTATAACCAGGTCGGTGTGATGAGGCGTTCAGGGACTCACAGATTTAACGGCTGCAGATTATAACCAGGTCGGTGTGGTGAGGCGTTCAGGGACTCACAGATTTAACTCCTGCAGATTATAACCAGGTCGGTGTGATGAGGCGTTCAGGGACTCACAGATTTAACGGCTGCAGATTATAACCAGGTCGGTGTGATGAGGCGTTCAGGGACTCACAGATTTAACGGCTGCAGATTATAACCAGGTCAGTGTGGTGAGGCGTTCAAGGACTCACATATTTAACTCCTGCAGATTATAACCAGGTCGGTGTGATGAGGCGTTCAGGGACTCACAGATTTAACGGCTGCAGATTATAACCAGGTCGGTGTGGTGAGGCGTTCAAGGACTCACATATTTAACTCCTGCAGATTATAACCAGGTCGGTGTGATGAGGCGTTCAGGGACTCACAGATTTAACGGCTGCAGATTATAACCAGGTCGGTGTGGTGAGGCGTTCAGGGACTCACAGATTTAACGGCTGCAGATTATAACCAGGTCGGTGTGATGAGGCGTTCAGGGACTCACAGATTTAACGGCTGCAGATTATAACCAGGTCGGTGTGATGAGGCGTTCAGGGACTCACAGATTTAACGGCTGCAGATTATAACCAGGTCGGTGTGGTGAGGCGTTCAAGGACTCACATATTTAACGGCTGCAGATTATAACCAGGTCGGTGTGATGAGGCGTTCAGGGACTCACAGATTTAACGGCTGCAGATTATAACCAGGTCGGTGTGATGAGGCGTTCAGGGACTCACAGATTTAACGGCTGCAGATTATAACCAGGTCGGTGTGATGAGGCGTTCAGGGACTCACAGATTTAACGGCTGCAGATTATAACCACATTGGTGTGATGAGGCGTTCAGGGACTCACAGATTTAACGGCTGCAGATTATAACCACATTGGTGTGATGAGGCGTTCAGGGACTCACAGATTTAACGGCTGCAGATTATAACCACATTGGTGTGATGAGGCGTTCAGGGACTCACAGATTTAACGGCTGCAGATGAATCCTGTGCTCTGAAACTTTAACCATCCTGTGAACTCTGAGTTTCTCATCTTTTCAAATGACACTGAGAGGTGGATCCAATCAGACATGGGGATGATCAGAAATGTGACTTAAACACTGTTTAAATGTCGTCTGCTGTTGAATTTAAGAACATGTCGTGCTGTTTCTGGACTGTTTGAGCTTTCTGTCGTTATGAAGTGCTAAATATTCATTTAAAATCCCCGTAATGGACCTTCATCAAAACTCTTTAAAAACATCATTTTAGTTGAGTTTTTTGACCTGCTTTTAATTGACTTATTTACTCACTCAAACTTTAGCATCACCTGACCTGTTGGGGTTAATTACTGAGCTCACTAACAGGTCATTATATCATGTAAGGTTAGGGTTCGGTTCTACCTGCACAGGTGAAGGCATTTCCACCTTAAAACCCCTCGAAACTATCCTTAAAAAAACTCAATGAAAGAAATGCCTATTATCAATATGAGATGTATAACCTACCAACACAGTTTCCTTCCCTACATTATTATTAGTGATTACTTTCTGGAGAGAGCTAAAGATGGATGTTGGAATGAAGCACTTTGTTCATTCTTCCAAAAGTCAGTTTAATTTCAGCTGAAGAGGGTTTGAGTCTCTGCAGGACGCTCACACCTCAGAGGGTTTGAGTCTCTGCAGGACGCTCACACCTCAGAGGGTTTGAGTCTCTGCAGGACGCTCACACCTCAGAGGGTTTGAGTCCCCCCTCAGGCAGGACGCTCACACCTCAGAGGGTTTGAGTCTCTGCAGGACGCTCACACCTCAGAGGGTTTGAGTCTCTGCAGGACGCTCACACCTCAGAGGGTTTGAGTCTCTGCAGGACGCTCACACCTCAGAGGGTTTGAGTCTCTGCAGGACGCTCACACCTCAGAGGGTTTGAGTCTCTGCAGGACGCTCACACCTCAGAGGGTTTGAGTCTCTGCAGGACGCTCACACCTCAGAGGGTTTGAGTCTCTGCAGGACGCTCACACCTCAGAGGGTTTGAGTCTCTGCAGGACGCTCACACCTCAGAGGGTTTGAGTCTCTGCAGGACGCTCACACCTCAGAGGGTTTGAGTCTCTGCAGGACGCTCACACCTCAGAGGGTTTGAGTCTCTGCAGGACGCTCACACCTCAGAGGGTTTGAGTCTCTGCAGGACGCTCACATCTCAGAGGGTTTGAGTCTCTGCAGGACGCTCACACCTCAGAGGGTTTGAGTCTCTGCAGGACGCTCACACCTCAGAGGGTTTGAGTCTCTGCAGGATGCTCACACCTCAGAGGGTTTTACTTCCTCTGATACCCAGGATGTAGGTTCAGCTGGTTCAACAGGTGACAGGAACTCACTATATACAGAGCTAATGAAATACAACCAGAGCTAATGAAATACAACCAGAGCTAACGAAATACAACCAGAGCTAACGAAATACAACCAGAGCTAATGAAATACAACCAGAGCTAACGAAATACAACCAGAGCTAATGAAATACAACCAGAGCTAACGAAATACAACCAGAGCTAATGAAATGAAATACAACCAGAGCTAATGAAATACAACCAGAGCTAACGAAATACAACCAGAGCTAACGAAATACAACCAGAGCTAATGAAATACAACCAGAGCTAATGAAATACAACCAGAGCTAATGAAATACAACCAGAGCTAATGAAATACAACCAGAGCTAACGAAATACAACCAGAGCTAATGAAATACAACCAGAGCTAATGAAATACAACCAGAGCTAATGAAATACAACCAGAGCTAATGAAATACAACCAGAGCTAATGAAATACAACCAGAGCTAACCAGCTGCTTGGAGATGGTGATAATTGCTTGGAAAGGATGGTCATTAGGAAAGGTCTCTTATTGGACGAACGGGATAAAGATGGCGCTCATATAACCCTCACTACCACCAAATAAACTCCATTCCTAAAACGCTTCCTCAACGCAATGCGGCTTTTAGAAACCATTTTTTAAAAGGCATTCTGGAGCAGTGCTCACTTCACCTAAAACGCATCGTTACATTATCTCCAGCTAACTTCAGAGCATCATCTGGACTTGCTAATAACCCAGAATACGTTAGCACGTTAGCATGTCTTCTCTTCACCTGCTGTGTGTTTGTAGAAGGCTATGAGTAACTTGCACTACAAAGACACGCTACAGCTCCACGAAGCATAACAAGATCATTCATCTAATTATGTGTGTGTATAAATATACGTGTGTGTATATAACATTTATTTAGGTAAAAACAATGATAGGAACTTGTGGATTCTTGTGGAGAAAATCTGCTTCCTTTTTTAGCTCCATTAGAAAAGGAAACACTGGAGCATCCTTCACTAAGGTGTCAGCAGCAAGGCATTGCACATAAGTAGAAATGCAAAGAGTAGAAATAAACAATTCTAAAATGTAAACATCTCAAAATAGAAACTGCGTCAGAAGTTATAAATGTTGTTTCCAACGATTATAAAAATATGTGCTGATTCTGAATTTTTGACCAAAATAATGGTGATGTTTTGATGGACCTGGCCAATCAAATGCAGTCGAGGCCAAATGGTTCAAACCGGACTCAACCAGTTCATCAGGGGGAATCAGACCATACGTTTGACATGCTTTGGTTTGTCCACTTCCTGTCTGTCTCTTCTGTCTCTTGGGATGACATGATGTCGTTTCTAAAGGACAGGTTTTGTTTTATGGTTGGTTTAGAAGAATTGTTATTTTTTACCAAACAAAGTTTTTTTAAAGACAAAAGTTAGTATTTGTTGTTTTTATGGAACAAAGTTAGTTTGTATTTGAACAGATCAGATTGTCTTGTGTCCGTTTCAACAGAGAGCATGTGGCTTTTCGCTGTCTTACAGTTGAACTTGCTCGTGTTGTTTCCAGAGGACAGACTTAGCACAAAGCTCCAGCTAATACACCCAGTGCGGACTGTAGGCCCCAGCTTAAAGCAGCCTATAAGTGACCCCCCCCTCCAGGGTTAAACAGGTGTTTAATCTGCCCTGAGCTCAGGGGGGGTCATCAGACCCTGTGGAGCCCCGCCCAACAGACCTGATGGTGTGTCTGTCAGCAGATCAGCTGTTTCCCCTCACAGCAGGGGGTCTGCAGATCAGCTGTTTCCCCTCACAGCAGGGGGTCTGCAGATCCTGACAAATGGTCAAGACCACAGTTTCTACCCAACAAGGTCTTATTCCCAGTTCAGTCGGTCAGCAGCATTAAAGTACAGTTACTACCCACATCTTGATTAGAGCTGCTGACCTGGTTTATCACGGCCTTATGTTCAAACCATTTCAGTAAGGATTGGATCCCAATGAGAGGGCAGCGTTAACATCAAATATGACTTGATCTTTCGACTCCACTTCGAGCGATAGAACTATTAAAAAAGCACTTCTATACTAATAAAGGACTGGCTTACCTAAAGCCAGTTGAGTAGCACTTGAAATGTTTGGCTCTATGAAACCTGATGTACTTTATGATTCTGTTTTCTTCAAGGTTGTGTCTTGTTGGTCGAACGCACTTATTGTACGTCTCTCTGGATAAAAGCTTCAGCTAAATGCAATGTAATGAGATGTAATGAACAAATCTGCTAAATCCGACCAACATTGATAAAAGCTCTAGAGAAAAATCAATATTAGTATTTCTTGCTATCTAATGTTAGCATGAATTGCCCCAAAGGATTACAACCCCGTGAAAATAACATGAAATGAGGCTTAAAAGGAAATAGTTATGGTATTGATATACACATGTATCCAAAGGGCTTCACAACCTGACCTGCATTAACTCCCAAAACTCAAAAGATATGACTTGAATGAAACCGTTGTCTGACTTGTGAGGCTGTTCTAGATCTGTGAGATAAAGATCTACCTCGAAAAGATCTCATTTTCATTAAATTGAACATCTTTGGATATTTTAAAGACACTTTTCTTGTTACGTTGAACCAATGGGATTAACCAAACCATCAATCCGTAAACCAACAGGTTGTTGATAATCAGAATGTCTTAATTGGTCCCGAACTGGGAATCTACGGCAGCAAGAGTTCAGAGTAGAGAGACTTAGATATTATAATAACAAGTCTGCAGACGTTATGAATCATAAACACAGATAAGTTCACCATGGTACAAACACAAGTAGGATGTTTTAAAGTATAGAATAAGATGGTACTGTTTACAGATTATAAATATATTAAAAGAAAAAGCGTTTATTGCTCACAGTTTTATATTAACAGACAGTGTTTCTGCACGTCAGAGATATTACTGTTCACTGTTGGTGGAGCTTTCCCAGTTTAAGTCCAATAGATGAGAGTAACACCTGCGTCACTTCCGGGCAACAATTACGGCCCCGCCCACTTTTGTGGGAAAACAACGCTGTCATCTGAACGGCTGTTAATACACATTCTGAAGTTTTTGCCAATCCGTCAGACATTTTTGAAAACCGTGGACGTGTGGATCTTCAAAGAGCCCGGTGACGACGGCCAGTCAGGCAAACAATTACATTCAATCATTGGAAACGACGATCGGGCTCGATATATGGTTACATTAAAATCAGTAGGCGAGGCTGTAATGTCGCCAGCTGTTACTCTCGTGAGCGAGGCGGAACATAATAGTTGTATCATGCCAAAAAGCTGCTGTCGTTTATTGCTCCTCAAACATTAGAACACATCCAGAGTTCAGTGTTTCTGGACTTCCTCTAAGAACAAAGCAGCTCTGTGGCTTCAGGCTCGATCGCCGTTCAGATGACAGCGTTGTTTGCCCGGAAGTGACGCAGGTGTTACTCTCAGGTATAGAAGATAATAATAATACTTTTTATTTATTTGAATTGTAAAGCACTACAAGCAGATAAAGAGGAAATATTCCCTTGTTCACCAAACTGAAAACAGTCTTTACTTCTTGTTTGGTGCTGAATATATAATAATATTAGCTTCCCATCGCGTTCAGTTTATTTCCTATAAAGTCCAGTTCTCAGAGACGTCCTGTCCCGCCTGATATCATGGATTTATAGACATATATTTAAGTGCGTTTCATGTACTATCATGGAGAGTTAGTGTGGAAGAAGTTTGTATAGAGCTTGTATTGGTGAATGACTCCTGGAGGTGGAGTTGCATTGTGGGTAATGTAGGTGTTAAACAAGGGGACGAATATGTTCATAATGAATGCTCTGCTTATCTTCATCTGTGTCGTGAAGCTTTGATGTCATGTATTCTTTGTACCTGTTTGATCGTGGGGAGGTGCCGGTGAGAGCAGTCTGTTATTGGGCGTAAACATCGCGTTGCTCTGTTTGGAAAGGAAGCTGGTTTGAAGTCGTTCATGTTGGATTTACAGAGATGTAGTTTGACTTGTTTCATTTGATCAGCATCACAAAGTAAACTCTGTATAATGGTGATTTGTTTATGTCCCAGCATGCTCCTGTTCGCAGTGTTAAGTCAAAGAGCTCCCCCTGTGTTCGTTTTTGTGTACTGCAAAAAACATTTACTAGAATTGTTTAAAAATATATACATTTAATTTGCTCGTGTGGCTTTTCAATTGGCTCGTGTGATGTACAGCAATAGATATGTTATAAATAGCTAATACTGCATGTATTATTATCAGAACACCATTTAATTGATTGTTGTCACTGTTGCCCTATTTTAAAATTAAACAATACAAATTGAAGAAAACAATCCTTTTAATAATTGTGTTATTATTATATAGGTGTATTAAATGAGGTTTAAAGCCAGTATGAAGCTACATTGGTTGTTTGATGTTTGTTTCTGATCTGAGTAAATGTGCAGAGTTCTTGTTTCTACTTCCCTCTGACCGTTTGTTTGTTTGTTTGTTTGTTTGTTTGTTTTCCTGCAGGGTGCCGACCAACATGTCAACACAGGCGCCGACGTTCCTGCAGCCGCTGCAGAGCGTCGTGGCACTAGAGGGTAGTGCCGCGACGTTCCAGGCTCAAGTCAGCGGTGAGGAACCTTCACATATCATCATCATCATCATCATCATCATCATCATCATCGTCATCATCATCATCGTCATCATCATAATAACAACACATTGGATTTTTATAGCGCTTTTCCTAATGCTGAAAGACGCTTTACATCAGAAGCAACACAGAGATATCACACGTTCACCGCCTGTAGCGCTGCTCCCTGAGGGCTTTCCAAACATCTGGGAAAAAGACTTGAGTCATAATTCAGATTTCATGCTAGCTAGTGTTAGCTTTCATTTCAAAATCGTTGACCAATACGCTTACGATACGATATAGCAGGTTTCTATTTGGATACACAAGCTGAAACGTTTATTCATCCTTTTTTTATTTTGATATATTAGCAGTTCCCTACCGTTTCAGTGTTTGTGCTAAGCTAAGCTAACGATGTCCTGTAGCAGTGATGCATTATGTGACCTGGTTGTGGTTCTCTGCAGGTTCTCCTGTTCCTGAGGTGAGCTGGTTTCGTGATGGCCAGGTTCTCTCCTCCGCCGTTCTGCCCGGCATTCAGATCTCGTTCAGCGATGGCCGTGCTGTTCTGAGGATCCCTGCTGTGACCGCCGCACACAGTGGGAGGTTCTCCGTCAGAGCGACCAACGGAGCCGGACAGGCCACCAGCACCGCAGAACTACTCGTCACAGGTGAGGCTGGATCCCCTGAGAGGCAGGAAGCTACTGCAGAGAGGCAGGAAGCTACTGCAGAGAGGCAGGAAGCTACTGTAGAGAGGCAGGAAGCTACTGCAGAGAGGCAGGAAGCTACTGTAGAGAGGCAGGAAGCTACTACAGAGAGGCAGGAAGCTACTACAGAGAGGCAAGAAGCTACTACAGAGAGGCAGGAAGCTACTGTAGAGAGGCAGGAAGCTACTGCAGAGAGGCAGGAAGCTACTACAGAGAGGCAGGAAGCTACTACAGAGAGGCAGGAAGCTACTACAGAGAGGCAGGAAGCTACTGCAGAGAGGCAGGAAGCTACTGCAGAGAGGCAGGAAGCTGCTGCAGAGAGGCAGGAAGCTACTACAGAGAGGCAGGAAGCTACTGCAGAGAGGCAGGACGCTACTGCAGAGAGGCAGGAAGCTGCTGCAGAGAGGCAGGAAGCTACTGCAGAGAGGCAGGAAGCTACTACAGAGAGGCAGGAAGCTACTGCAGAGAGGCAGGAAGCTACTGCAGAGAGGCAGGAAGCTACTGCAGAGAGGCAGGAAGCTACTGCAGAGAGGCAGGAAGCTACTGCAGAGAGGCAGGAAGCTGCTGCAGAGAGGCAGGAAGCTGCTGCAGAGAGGCAGGAAGCTACTACAGAGAGGCAGGAAGCTGCTGCAGAGAGGCAGGAAGCTACTGCAGAGAGGCAGGAAGCTACTACAGAGAGGCAGGAAGCTACTACAGAGAGGCAGGAAGCTGCTGCAGAGAGGCAGGAAGCTACTACAGAGAGGCAGGAAGCTACTGCAGAGAGGCAGGAAGCTACTGCAGAGAGGCAGGAAGCTACTGCAGAGAGGCAGGAAGCTACTGCAGAGAGGCAGGAAGCTACTACAGAGAGGCAGGAAGCTACTGCAGAGAGGCAGGAAGCTACTGCAGAGAGGCAGGAAGCTGCTGCAGAGAGGCAGGAAGCTGCTGCAGAGAGGCAGGAAGCTACTGCAGAGAGGCAGGAAGCTACTGCAGAGAGGCAGGAAGCTACTACAGAGAGGCAGGAAGCTACTACAGAGAGGCAGGAAGCTACTACAGAGAGGCAGGAAGCTACTGCAGGGAGACACTTAACAAGACATTAACGATCCAAAAGAACCTCAGAGAGACAGGAAACGATGACTTAGAGCCAAATAAGGACCAGAAAGAGACACATAACAACCTCAAAGACACACACAATCACTACAAAGAGACACAACATGACTGCAAACAGACAGGAATTGACCACAGAGAGACATGACACAACATCAGAGACACAAAAACAAGACCTTAAAGACACAAGAAAGGAACATACGAGGAGGAAAGACAACAAATAAAACCCCAAAGACACAAAACAGCGACACAGAGACCCAAAGGTCACACAAAAGACATCAACCAACCACAGAGCCACGCAGAGACATGAAGTGAAGTTATGCATTGTGTTGGTGAGCGTCAGTCTAAATGTGTCCTCGCTGAGAGCTGGCTCTTCACCCTGTGATAAAACAGATATAGAAGCAGCTGCTGCGGCGGCATAGCTTTCCTTAACGGGAGCACGCTCAGTCACAGATCAACTGCTTCGCTCTGCAGTGTGTTCCAGACCGATGTGTGAGATCTCTATATGTCAAATAACGGTCCTGTGGACCTCTTTGGGTTGAAGTAGCAGAAGTCCTGAGCATCTGGTCTGACTCTTGTTTGGTGCTCACACTTTTTGAAACACGTGGCATCTTGAGACCTGTCTCCCCCAACTGGTCCCAGTGTCTGAGTCCTGGCATGGCAGGAAGTGATGCTTGATGGTGCAGTGATTGGAGCCCCAGTTTAATTAATGATATCCCCCCCCCCCAGCGGAGACAGCCCCTCCCAGCTTCCTGCTCCGCCTCCAGAGCTCCACGGTGCTCCAGGGCAGCCAGGTGAGGCTGGACGTCAGAGTCTCAGGTATCCCCCTCCCCCAGGTGAGGTTCTTCAGGGAGGGGGCGGAGATCCAGAGCTCGCCAGACTTCAGGATCCTGACGGAGGGCGAGATGCACAGCCTGCTGATCGCTGAGGCCTTCCCTGAGGATTCTGGGAACTATTCTGCCACCGCCACCAACAGCAGCGGAAGAGCAACCTCCACCTGCGAGCTGCTGGTGCAAGGTGAGGGAGTTGGCCCGGCAACAGGACACAGACATGTAGAGAACTGTAGATCTATAGATATACAGTACCTGGTGTTTTAGTTTGATCTCTGAGCACCCAGGACATCATTAGCCTATTGTAGCATAAAGACGGGAAGCAGGGGGAAAGGTTAGCCTAGCTTAGCATAAAGACATGAAGCAGGGGGAAAGGTTAGACTAGCTTAGCATAAAGACATGAAGCAGGGGGAAAGGTTAGACTAGCTTAGCATAAAGACATGAAGCAGGGGGAAAGGTTAGACTAGCTTAGCATAAAGACATGAAGCAGGGGGGAAAGGTTAGACTAGCTTAGCATAAAGACATGAAGCAGGGGGAAAGGTTAGACTAGCTTAGCATAAAGACATGAAGCAGGGGGAAAGGTTAGACTAGCTTAGCATAAAGACATGAAGCAGGGGGAAAGGTTAGACTAGCTTAGCATAAAGACATGAAGCGGGGGAAAGGTTAGACTAGCTTAGCATAAAGACATGAAGCCAGGGGGGAAAGGTTAGACTAGCTAGCATAAAGAAATGAAGCAGGGGGAAAGGTTAGACTAGCTTAGCATAAAGACATGAAGCAGGGGGAAAGGTTAGACTAGCTTAGCATAAAGACATGAAGCAGGGGGAAAGGTTAGACTAGCTTAGCATAAAGACATGAAGCAGGGGGAAAGGTTAGACTAGCTTAGCATAAAGACATGAAGCAAGGGGAAAGGTTAGACTAGCTTAGCATAAAGACATGAAGCAAGGGGAAAGGTTAGACTAGCTTAGCATAAAGACATGAAGCAAGGGGAAAGGTTAGCCTATTTTAGCATAAGGATGGGAAATAGGGGGAAAGGTTAAACTAGCTTAGCATAAAGACGGGAAGCAGGGGGAAAGGTTAGCCTAGCATAACAAAGACACCACAGGGGGAAACTGTTAGCCTAGCTTAGCATAAATATGGGAAGCAGGAGAAAATGGTTAGCCTAGCTTAGCATAAAGATGGAAAGCAGGTGGAAACTCTAACAGTAGCCTAGCTTAGCATAAAGACATGAAGCAGGGACACTGTTAGCCTAGCTTAGCATAAAGACATGAAGCAGGGACACTGTTAGCCTTGATTCAAATACAAGTTTATATATTTATTACCAACCATTTCTATAAATTGTGCATTTCCGAATTTTATCGACAAAATAAAAGTTGACTTCCTTTAATTTAAAACTTTGTGTTTTCGTTCGAAGATAACCAGCTATGTTTCTGACCTGTGTCGACTTCCCCTGCATCAGAAATCTAATGAAAGTGTTTCTCTGTTTCCCGCTGCAGGTGAGGAAGTCGTGCCGGTGAAGAAAACCAAGACGATCGTGACGTCTCAGATGGCCGCCTCCTCCCAAAGCACCGTGCAGAGGGTGAGAGAGAACATACCTGACATCAGAACCACTCCCCAAGTAATCCCCTTGGATTTAGAGGAACTGGAACAGACGTTTTTCAATATTTTCTAACATGTTATACCCCAAAGTATTCCTTAATAAGTGGATCTGCAGACCCGTCCTCAGTTCAGTATCCCCCTGTAACACATGTTATAATAATGATCCACTCAAGCTGTCCCTGTTTCTCTGCAGAAGATGGAGGCCAGCTTCCAGTCCTCCTCCATGATGGAGATGCATGTGGAATCAGGAATGATGACCCAGCATCTGTCTCACAAAACCCCCCCGAGGGTTCCCCCCAAGCCCACCTCCCGCTCCCCTCAGTCCTACGTCTCTAAGGTGGGGGGGGGCCGGCAGCAGTCTCCTTCACCTGTCCGTCACGTGAAGGGCCCACAGCCCGCCCCCGTCAGGTGACACAAACACACTTATTACTAAATATACTTTATGTACTTAAACTTATATTACTTATCACCAGAGATGGCAAACGTACACACACCCTGTACTCAGGTAGAAGTACACACATCCTGTACTCAAGTAGAAGTACACACATCCTTTACTCAAGTAGAAGTACACACATCCTTTACTCAAGTAGAAGTACACACATCCTTTACTCAAGTAGAAGTACACACATCCTTTACTCAGGTAGAAGTACACACATCCTGTACTCAGGTAGAAGTAGTATTTGTGTTCAACATGTAAGAAGTAGAAAGTACAGGTATTTGTGTTCAACATGTAAGAAGTAGAAAGTACAGGTATTTGAGTTCAACATGTAAGAAGTAGAAAGTACAGGTATTTGAGTTCAACATGTAAGAAGTAGAAAGTACAGGTATTTGAGTTCAACATGTAAGAAGTAGAAAGTACAGGTATTTGAGTTCAACATGTAAGAAGTAGAAAGTACAGGTATTTGAGTTCAACATGTAAGAAGTAGAAAGTACAGGTATTTGAGTTCAACATGTAAGAAGTAGAAAGTACAGGTATTTGGGTTCAACATGTAAGAAGTAGAAAGTACAGGTATTTGGGTTCAACATGTGAGAAGTAGAAAGTACAGGTATTTGAGTTCAACATGTAAGAAGTAGAAAGTACAGGTATTTGAGTTCAACATGTAAGAAGTAGAAAGTACAGGTATTTGTGTTCAACATGTAAGAAGTAGAAAGTACAGGTATTTGAGTTCAACATGTAAGAAGTAGAAAGTACAGGTATTTGAGTTCAACATGTGAGAAGTAGAAAGTACAGGTATTTGTGTTCAACATGTAAGAAGTAGAAAGTACAGGTATTTGAGTTCAACATGTAAGAAGTAGAAAGTACAGGTATTTGAGTTCAACATGTGAGAAGTAGAAAGTACAGGTATTTGAGTTCAACATGTAAGAAGTAGAAAGTACAGGTATTTGTGTTCAACATGTAAGAAGTAGAAAGTACAGGTATTTGTGTTCAACATGTAATAAGTAGAAAGTACAGGTATTTGTGTTCAACATGTAATAAGTAGAAAGTACAGGTATTTGGGTTCAACATGTAAGAAGTAGAAAGTACAGGTATTTGGGTTCAACATGTAAGAAGTAGAAAGTACAGGTATTTGTGTTCAACATGTAAGAAGTAGAAAGTACAGGTATTTGAGTTCAACATGTAAGAAGTAGAAAGTACAGGTATTTGAGTTCAACATGTAAGAAGTAGAAAGTACAGGTATTTGAGTTCAACATGTAAGAAGTAGAAAGTACAGGTATTTGAGTTCAACATGTAAGAAGTAGAAAGTACAGGTATTTGAGTTCAACATGTAAGAAGTAGAAAGTACAGGTATTTGAGTTCAACATGTAAGAAGTAGAAAGTACAGGTATTTGAGTTCAACATGTAAGAAGTAGAAAGTACAGGTATTTGAGTTCCACATGTAAGAAGTAGAAAGTACAGGTATTTGGGTTCAACATGTAAGAAGTAGAAAGTACAGGTATTTGGGTTCAACTTGTGAGAAGTAGAAAGTACAGGTATTTGAGTTCAACATGTAAGAAGTAGAAAGTACAGGTATTTGTGTTCAACATGTGAGAAGTAGAAAGTACAGGTATTTGAGTTCAACATGTAAGAAGTAGAAAGTACAGGTATTTGAGTTCAACATGTAAGAAGTAGAAAGTACAGGTATTTGAGTTCAACATGTAAGAAGTAGAAAGTACGGGTATTTTAGTTCAACATGTAAGAAGTAGAAAGTACAGGTATTTGAGTTCAACATGTAAGAAGTAGAAAGTACAGGTATTTTTGTTCAACATGTAAGAAGTAGAAAGTACAGGTATTTGTGTTCAACATGTAAGAAGTAGAAAGTACAGGTATTTGAGTTCAACATGTAAGAAGTAGAAAGTACAGGTATTTGGGTTCAACATGTAAGAAGTAGAAAGTACAGGTATTTGTGTTCAACATGTAAGAAGTAGAAAGTACAGGTATTTGAGTTCAACATGTAAGAAGTAGAAAGTACAGGTATTTGGGTTCAACATGTAAGAAGTAGAAAGTACAGGTATTTTGGTTTAAAGTGTAAGAAGTAGAAAGTACAGGTATTTGTGTTCAACATGTAAGAAGTAGAAAGTACAGGTATTTGAGTTCAACATGTAAGAAGTAGAAAGTACAGGTATTTGGGTTCAACATGTAAGAAGTAGAAAGTACAGGTATTTGGGTTCAACATGTAAGAAGTAGAAAGTACAGGTATTTGGTGTTCAAATGTAAGAAGTAGAAAGTACAGGTATTTGGGTTTCAACATGTAAGAAGTAGAAAGTACAGGTATTTGAGTTCAACATGTAAGAAGTAGAAAGTACAGGTATTTGTGTTCAACATGTAAGAAGTAGAAAGTACAGGTATTTGGGTTCAACATGTAGAAGTAGAAAGTACAGGTATTTGGGTTCAACATGTGAGAAGTAGAAAGTACAGGTATTTGAGTTCAACATGTAAGAAGTAGAAAGTACAGGTATTTGAGTTCAACATGTAAGAAGTAGAAAGTACAGGTATTTGGGTTCAACATGTGAGAAGTAGAAAGTACAGGTATTTGGGTTCAAAGTGTAAGAAGTAGAAAGTACAGGTATTTGAGTTCAACATGTAAGAAGTAGAAAGTACAGGTATTTGGGTTCAACATGTAAGAAGTAGAAAGTACAGGTATTTGGGTTTAAAGTGTAAGAAGTAGAAAGTACAGGTATTTGAGTTCAACATGTAAGAAGTAGAAAGTACAGGTATTTGAGTTCAACATGTAAGAAGTAGAAAGTACAGGTATTTGAGTTCAACATGTAAGAAGTAGAAAGTACAGGTATTTGAGTTCAACATGTAAGAAGTAGAAAGTACAGGTATTTGGGTTCAACATGTAAGAAGTAGAAAGTACAGGTATTTGAGTTCAACATGTAAGAAGTAGAAAGTACAGGTATTTGGGTTCAACATGTGAGAAGTAGAAAGTACAGGTATTTGGGTTCAAAGTGTAAGAAGTAGAAAGTACAGGTATTTGAGTTCAACATGTAAGAAGTAGAAAGTACAGGTATTTGGGTTCAACATGTAAGAAGTAGAAAGTACAGGTATTTGGGTTCAACATGTAAGAAGTAGAAAGTACAGGTATTTGTGTTCAACATGTGAGAAGTAGAAAGTACAGGTATTTGAGTTCAACATGTAAGAAGTAGAAAGTACAGGTATTTGAGTTCAACATGTAAGAAGTAGAAAGTACAGGTATTTGAGTTCAACATGTAAGAAGTAGAAAGTACAGGTATTTTAGTTCAACATGTAAGAAGTAGAAAGTACAGGTATTTGAGTTCAACATGTAAGAAGTAGAAAGTACAGCTATTTGAGTTCAACATGTAAGAAGTAGAATGTACAGGTATTTGGGTTCAACATGTAAGAAGTAGAAAGTACAGGTATTTGAGTTCAACATGTAAGAAGTAGAAAGTACAGGTATTTGAGTTCAACATGTAAGAAGTAGAATGTACAGGTATTTGAGTTCAACATGTAAGAAGTAGAATGTACAGGTATTTGGGTTCAACATGTAAGAAGTAGAAAGTACAGGTATTTGAGTTCAACATGTAAGAAGTAGAAAGTACAGGTATTTGAGTTCAACATGTAAGAAGTAGAAAGTACAGGTATTTGGGTTCAACATGTAAGAAGTAGAAAGTACAGGTATTTGAGTTCAACATGTAAGAAGTAGAAAGTACAGGTATTTGAGTTCAACATGTAAGAAGTAGAAAGTACAGGTATTTGGGTTCAACATGTGAGAAGTAGAAAGTACAGGTATTTGGGTTCAAAGTGTAAGAAGTAGAAAGTACAGGTATTTGAGTTCAACATGTAAGAAGTAGAAAGTACAGGTATTTGAGTTCAACATGTGAGAAGTAGAAAGTACAGGTATTTGAGTTCAACATGTAAGAAGTAGAAAGTACAGGTATTTGAGTTCAACATGTGAGAAGTAGAAAGTACAGGTATTTGGGTTCAACATGTAAGAAGTAGAAAGTACAGGTATTTGAGTTCAACATGTAAGAAGTAGAAAGTACAGGTATTTGGGTTCAACATGTGAGAAGTAGAAAGTACAGGTATTTGTGTTCAACATGTGAGAAGTAGAAAGTACAGGTATTTGAGTTCAACATGTAAGAAGTAGAAAGTACAGGTAGTAGTGTTCAACATGTAAGAAGTAGAAAGTACAGGTATTTGGGGTTCAACATGTAAGAAGTAGAAAGTACAGGTATTTGAGTTCAACATGTAAGAAGTAGAAAGTACAGGTATTTGGGTTCAAAGTGGTAAGAAGTAGAAAGTACAGGTATTTGAGTTCAACATGTAAGAAGTAGAAAGTACAGGTATTTGTGTTCAACATGTAAGAAGTAGAAAGTACAGGTATTTGTGTTCAAAATGTAAGAAGTAGAAAGTACAGGTATTTGAGTTCAACATGTAAGAAGTAGAAAGTACAGGTATTTGATTTCAACATGTGAGAAGTAGAAAGTACAGGTATTTGAGTTCAACATGTAAGAAGTAGAAAGTACAGGTATTTGGGTTCAAAGTGTAAGAAATAGAAAGTACAGGTATTTGAGTTCAACATGTAAGAAGTAGAAAGTATAGGTATTTGAGTTCAATATGGAAGAAGTAGAAAGTTCAGGTATTTGAGTTCAACATGTAAGAAGTAGAAAGTACAGGTATTTGGGTTCAAAGTGTAAGAAATAGAAAGTACAGGTATTTGAGTTCAACATGTAAGAAGTAGAAAGTATAGGTATTTGAGTTCAATATGGAAGAAGTAGAAAGTACAGGTATTTGAGTTCAACATGTAAGAAGTAGAAAGTTCAGGTATTTGTGTTCAACATGTAAGAAGTAGAAAGTTCAGGTATTTGAGTTCAACATGTGAGAAGTAGAAAGTACAGGTATTTGAGTTCAACATGTAAGAAGTAGAAAGTACAGGTATTTGGGTTCAACATGTAAGAAGTAGAAAGTACAGGTATTTGAGTTCAACATGTAAGAAGTAGAAAGTACAGATATTTGTGTTCAACATGTGAGAAGTAGAAAGTACAGATATTTGTGTTCAACATGTGAGAAGTAGAAAGTACAGGTATTTGAGTTCAACATGTGAGAAGTAGAAAGTACAGATATTTGGGTTCAACATGTAAGAAGTAGAAAGTACAGGTATTTGAGTTCAACATGTAAGAAGTAGAAAGTACAGGTATTTGAGTTCAACATGTAAGAAGTAGAAAGTACAGGTATTTGAGTTCAACATGTAAGAAGTAGAAAGTACAGGTATTTGTGTTCAACATGTAAGAAGTAGAAAGTACAGGTATTTGAGTTCAACATGTAAGAAGTAGAAAGTACAGGTATTTGAGTTCAACATGTAAGAAGTAGAAAGTACAGGTAGTTGGGTTCAACATGTGAGAAGTAGAAAGTACAGGTATTTGAGTTCAACATGTAAGAAGTAGAAAGTACAGGTAGTTGGGTTCTCTTTGCTCAGTGGTTCTTTAATGTCTCTGTTCCCTGTGTCCTGCAGACCCGTGTCCCCCTCCTCCAGAGTCTCTGTCCCCTCCATCAGACCTGTGAAGTCTCCCGTCATATCCCGCAAACAGGTGAGGACATTTATCTCCGTTTATCCTCATTAACGTCCAGCAGACGCCCTGCTGCTATTGTTTATTTGTCAGACAGTTTATAGATTTGTTATCGTAACGGTCATCTGTATATTTGCTCTCTAATGCTGATTTATTTCTATTTCTATTTTAAGATGTTTATATTTTAGAATTGTTTATTTCTACTCTTTTAATTTCTAATTATGTGCAATACCTTGTTTTGTTTTATGCTGCAACAAATTGGGAGTAAATAAAGTACCTCTTATTTTATATTTATTATTTGTTTTTTAAAATAATTTTTAGAAGTTTATTCTATTTGAATTATTTCGATTTTTTATGTATTTATTTTATTTAAGATTTTTCTGCATCGGCCACATTTACATTTAATACCTTAAGTACATTTAGCTGATTACACTTACAATAACACACACACACACGCACACACACACTCACACGCACACACGCACACACACACTCACACGCACACACACGCACACACACCCATACTAGTACAGACGAATGTACATCCATGGTCGCTCCCTCTTGTGGACACACAGGAAACGACACCCTCCACTGATCAGTCCATTTCTAAGCCCAGAGAGTCAGCTGTCTGTCTCTCTGCAGGAATGTGTTATTTTAGGACCCTAGTGTTGTAAAGTGAAACTAACGCCCCCCCCCCCCCCCCCCCCCCCCCCCCCCTGCAGCTGTCCTCCCCTGCGGAGGTGCCCCCCCCCTGGAAGCACTCCGGCCTGCAGGCTGAGAGCAGCTTCACCTCCGTCAGCACCTCCTCCTCCTCCCACATGATGATGGAGCAGAGCAGCTCCTCCATGATGATGGAGCAGAGCAGCTCCTCCATGATGATGGAGCAGAGCAGCTCCTCCATGATGATGGAGCAGAGCAAAGAGGTTTGGATTCATTTTGCCACTAATTCAACAATTATGAACCATTTTTATAGATTTTTGTCCGTATATTTATTTTTATGAATTGATGAAATTATTTTCCCCAATTTTTTTTGCAACTACTCCACAAGCACAAGCACTTCAAACAATATTAAATATATTTAAAAACATGTATTAATACATTTAAATAAACAAATGGAATAAATGCATATTGTTAATATTTTTTTATTTCTTATTATTTTACTTTTTTTATTTGATAAATGTATTCATACATACACTGAACAAAAATATAAACGCAACACTTTTGTTTTTGCTCCCATTTTTCATGAGATGAACTCAAAGATCTAAAACATTTTCTAAATACACAAAATAACCATTTCTCTCAAATATTGTTCACAAATCTGAAAGATCTGTGATAGTGATCACTTCTCCTTTGCCGAGATAATCCATCCCACCTCACAGGTGTGGCATATCAAGATGCTGATTAGACAGCATGATTATTGCACAGGTGTGCCTTAGGCTGGCCACAATAAAAGGCCACTCTGAAACGTGCAGTTTTGCTTTATTGGGGGGGTCTGGGGGGGTCCGAAAACCAGTCAGTATCTGGTGTGAGGGGTAGGATTAGGGTAATGTTGTGAATTGAGTGGCCCATAGTGGTGGTGGGGTTATGGTATAGTGGTGGTCTAATGGTTAGTGAGGTGGGCTGAAGATCGGAAGGTTGTGAGTTCAAATCCCGCCAGGAACACCACCACTAGTGTGCCCTTGAGTAAGGCACTTAGTCCTTAGTTACTCCAGGGAGAATGTCCCTGTAATTGGTCATTGTAAGTCGCTTTGGATAAAAGCGTCAGCTAAATGTAATGTAATGGTATGGGCAGGCGTATGTTATGGACGACGAACACAGGCCACTCGATTCACAACATTACCCTACCCCTACCCCTCACACCAGATACTGACTGGTTTTCGGACCCCCCCAGACCCCCCCAATAAAGCAAAACTGCATGTTTCAGAGTGGCCTTTTATTGTGGCCAGCCTAAGGCACACCTGTGCAATAATCATGCTGTCTAATCAGCATCTTGATATGCCACACCTGTGAGGTGGGATGGATTATCTCGGCAAAGGAGAAGTGCTCACTATCACAGATCTTTCAGATTTGTGAACAATATTTGAGAGAAATGGTTATTTTGTGTTTATAGAAAAGGTTTTAGATCTTTGAGTTCATCTCATGAAAAATGGGAGCAAAAACAAAAGTGTTGCGTTTATACTTTTGTTCAGTGTACATTTAAAAAAATCTAAATCAAATGAAAAATAATTTATATTAAAAATGCACGATGCATGGACCTGTTTCTTCTTCTGTGGTGTGTATTTAAAGCCTGTTTTCAGCTGCTCTGGAGGTCCTGTTTCTTCTTCTGTGGTGTGTATTTAAAGCCTGTTTTCAGCTGCTCTGGAGGTCCTGTTTCTTCTTCTGTGGTGTGTATTTAAAGCCTGTTTTCAGCTGCTCTGGAGGTCCTGTTTCTTCTTCTGTGGTGTGTATTTAAAGCCTGTTTTCAGCTGCTCTGGAGGTCCTGTTTCTTCTTCTGTGGTGTGTATTTAAAGCCTGTTTTCAGCTGCTCTGGAGGTCCTGTTTCTTCTTCTGTGGTGTGTATTTAAAGCCTGTTTTCAGCTGCTCTGGAGGTCCTGAGCTGTGTGTTTTGTCTCCAGGCGGAAGGGGGGGGTAAAGCGACGGCGGTGGCCACGGTTGTCGCCGCTGTTGACCTCGCTCGCGTCCGTCAGCCCGTCAGTGGAGCTGCAGAAGAAGAGGTAGAGGTGGAGATAAAACAACAACAACAACAACAACAACAACAACAACAACAACAACAACAACAACAGGAAGTGGAGACAACAACGGAGGAGAAGCAGGAAGTTGTTGTGAAAAGTCTTTCTACTGAAGCTACGGAGACAAAAGTCAGAGCAGTTTCTCAGATCCAGATCTCTGAAGAATCGTCTCAGATCCAGATCCCGTCTCAGATCCTGATCCCGTCTCAGATCCCGTCTCAGATCCACATCCCGTCTCAGATCCCGTCTCAGATCCAGATCCCGTCTCAGATCCACATCCCGTCTCAGATCCACATCCCGTCTCAGATCCAAATCCCGTCTCAGATCCAAATCCCGTCTCAGATCCCGTCTCAGATCCAGATCCCGTCTCAGATCCAGATCCCGTCTCAGATCCCGTCTCAGATCCACATCCCGTCTCAGATCCAAATCCCGTCTCAGATCCCGTCTCAGATCCAGATCTCTGCAGAACCGTCTCCGGTTCCTCACTTCACAGTTTCTAAAGTCTCTGTTCCTAAACCTGAAGCGAGCCTGGAGGTAAGAGGAGGCCTTCATCATCATCACCTCAAAACCCTTCATCTCACTCTAACAGCGACACCTAAACAATGTGCAGCGTGTGATTCACTGTGACCTTCATAAACAAACGAACATCACGTTTCATCACTGCCTTCCTCTATGGATCTCTACAAACACTAGACCTGCACACAATAAAACCTGCTTTCTGGATCCAGCTCCGATGAGACAACGAGGCAACAGATTTTTATTAGGAAATATATTTGATGCTACTATTAGCAAAGTGTTTTAAGACCTGGTTTATTTGAGTAGCAAATAACAATTATAAACAAATTATAAGAAGTATACAAACATATACTTGCCCTTCTCCTGGCTTCACAAACAGCATGCTGTACGATGCACAACAACAACACACGACCCTCACAAACACACTTTATCAATTAACCAATTACTAAAATGCCAACATTTTAGGAGCAATTGAAAACAAAGACTAGCAAGTACATACAAAATAAACTCACCGTACCATTATCGTTTTCTCACCGTACCATTATCGTTTTCTCACCGTACCATTATCGTTTTCTCACCGTACCATTATCGTTCTCTCACCGTACCATTATCGTTTTCGTACCGTACCATTATCGTTTTCTCACCGTACCATTATCGTTTTCTCACCGTACCATTATCGTTTCTCACCGTACCATTATCGTTCTCTCACCGTACCATTATCGTTTTCGTACCGTACCATTATCGTTTTCTCACCGTACCATTATCATTTTCTCACCGTACCATTATCGTTTTCGTACCGTACCATTATCGTTTTCTCACCGTACCATTATCGTTTTCGTACCGTACCATTATCGTTTTCTCACCGTACCATTATCGTTTTCTCACCGTACCATTATCGTTTTCTCACCGTACCATTATCGTTCTCTCACCGTACCATTATCGTTTTCGTACCGTACCATTATCGTTTTCTCACCGTACCATTATCATTTTCTCACCGTACCATTATCGTTTTCGTACCGTACCATTATCGTTTTCTCACCGTACCATTATCGTTTTCGTACCGTACCATTATCGTTTTCTCACCGTACCATTATCGTTTTCTCACCGTACCATTATCGTTTTCGTACCGTACCATTATCGTTCTGTCACCGTACCATTATCGTTTTCGTACCGTACCATTATCGTTTTCTCACCGTACCATTATCGTTCTCTCACCGTACCATTATCGTTTTCTCACCGTACCATTATCGTTTTCTCACCGTACCATTATCGTTTTCTCACCGTTTTCTCACCGTACCATTATCGTTTTCGTACCGTACCATTATCGTTTTCTCACCGTACCATTATCGTTTTCTCACCGTACCATTATCGTTTTCTCACCGTACCATTATCGTTTTCTCACCGTTTTCTCACCGTACCATTATCGTTTTCTCACCGTACCATTATTGTTTTCTCACCGTACCATTATCGTTTTCGTACCATTATCGTTTTCTCACCGTGCCATTATCGTTCTCATGCCTCCCTCTCATTGGCTCGGCCAGGTCTCCATCGCGGGCTCGGCCATGGCGGCTCTGCACAGAGAGTTCTCCTCCCCTGTCTCCCCCCTCTCCCCTCGAAGGATCATCAAACCAGTGAAGTCTCCCAGCCCGTCCCGCAGGAGGGGGGCGAGCGTGCCCCCCGAGCCCCTGCCGCCCCCCTTCAGAAACCCCAGATATCAGACGGGGGGCCCTAGTGAGGAGGAGTTTGAAGACTGGGAGCCACAGGTTGGTGGGATCCAATCACAGCCTTCAATTAACCCCCTGGGAGTTCAATCATCACCTCATTGAAAACCCTGCACTTCCTGTCCATCCACTTCCTGTCCATCCACTTCTGTCTTAACCTACACTTCCTGTCTCCATTGGCACTTTCCACTTCCTGTCTCCATTAGGACTTAGCACTTC